CTGCATCAAATAGTACGGGCTACATCGACTATTATTAAAAAAAATCCATTTCATCAAAGTTGCTTGATTCTTTGCTTCTCATCCTTAAAAAAAAAGTTACAGTTTAATCATATTTTCTGCAACACATTTTACCCTAATACTTTTCCTAATTTTTTGCTGCAAGTTATTTGCTTTATATAATTTATTTAGACATGTAATTCATAAACATTTTGGTACTTTCAATAAATTCCAGATGATTATACTGACCGATTTTTACGGGAGATTGGCACATCAATTTGATTTAAATAGCATCAGGACTTTTTAGAGCATTCCAGATTTTTTCCAGATTTTATATTTTAACTGGGGATAGAATAAGGCAACGTGACAAATTGCAAGGAAGAAGACAGGCCTGGGATTGAACTCCCGAACCTTCTGCTCAGTAAGCAGAAACGGTAACCACTGAGCTACCAAGTCTCGCAGGCCGGATACCGGATATTTGTTATAAGCAATTCACCCCAGAAGACGGTTGCAAATTAACAAATTTTCCAACATGTGAAAGCTAATTTCTAGACTAACATTTGAAAAGGAGGAATTTCAAATTCACCATATCGATAAAACCACTTCAGAATTTTGACCAAAAAAATAATCCAATTTCACGGCTTCCCATTTTCTGGAATATTTTATTAGCTTGACACAGTTTATAGTGAAATCTAACATCATGCATCACTCAAAACTAAAATATGTGTTTTGCCGTTAAATTGAGAAGAAAACATCATATGCCCTGATACTTTCTTACATGTTGTTCCCCTCAGATCATTCACCCTTTGAACTGCCAACACTGGTGATACGCCGCACAGTGGGACGAAATCAAATCCTATTACCATAGAGGTAGCTCTAAGACTAGTAGGTCCCGAAGAAACGTGCTCAACTTTTTGGCTCAGCTCTGGTACTATCTTCGGTCCCAAGCTAATCAATTGGGTTCTTTAATTTTGAAAAATATATCGTTTTTTATATATCATCTGAAAGAGCTTCGTTTTTTGAGCACAGCGATATTTTTTTCGAACCTACCTCGGCTGGTTGAATACTCTTGTTAGATGTCTTATTCACAACCAGTTGAAACCCGGATATCGGCTTTTCGTTGGGCCTGACCTGATTGGCAATTGGGAAAGATTTTTTTCTAGAAAATAAATAGGTCGAACTCAAACATACATCAAACTGGCAGTTTCATTGGATCTTACAATTTTCCTCCGAGTATCAATCTCACAATCTTTTGCAACTTCAACGGATGCTTCTAAACGACCATTAATTCGATGTATAAATGTTTTCTTTACCTTTTCTGTTCAACACTTTTTCACAACACTTTATTATCGAGCTTCAGTAATATGTAAACAAATAACATTGCTGACGTTTGCTGTTTTTTGTTCGACGGTCTCTGTGATTACTTCGCTGACGATGCGAGTGATGTGACAAAAGATGCAAGATTCGAGAGTACACGGATAGAAATCGCCTTATACCAAATTTCTGTTGCTGATTATTCATAAAATGTATAAGTCAAATAATAAGCAGACGCCTTGCAAAAAGTTAATGAAGATTATGTTTCAAATGAAATGTATAAGCGGTCACAGGTCACACATACCTTTTATGCATTCTTATAGGACCTATGTGGTTTGTCTTATGGAATGTATAAGCATAGAGGTAACTCTAAGACCAGAAGGTCCCGAAAATACGTGCTCAACTTTTTTACTCCGCTCTGGTACTATCTTCGGTCCCAAGCTAATCGATGCACCCCTCGAAACATAAGAAAATCCATGAACCCCTCATTTTACCTGTCAAACTTTCATAGCAAATCAAAACAAACATAGTGTAGTACTAGAATTTCGACTATAATGGGGTACGTTAATCGTTTGCTAGGGACCAATAGGCTAGTCAAGTAGTGAGCCAATTTAAAATCGTTAGTTTCGAATTGATTGTTGGTATAAGGCTTATGTTTTGGCAAAAATGTATAAGTGAACCACATGGATAAAATACTTGATTTTCGTTTCGTGTAGATGAAAGTAGATGGCACAGATATAAACAGATAGCGTGCGGTAAATAAATATATAAAGATATGTGTGATTAATGACGAAAAGAAGATAATCCAGATGTGTCGCCCCCCTCGGAACCTACACACTTTCATCTCGATTTTTAAATCAATATTTAAAGCAAAATAATAACTTCACTGTTTGACACTAAACTAACAAACTGACAGCTCGCTCCCATACAAAGTGACACCGAGGGGCGCTAATAAGGTGATTTTTGCAAATGTAATCGTTTTTATTTAAAATAGTTCTAGTGTACCAAAATTGATGAAATTTTGGGTTTGGGTTCCATTTTTAATGCAGATTACGATTATGCATTTACCTCAATACCCTTAAAGAACCCAACTCACCCATCAAAACATAGGAAAATCCACTAACCCTTCATTTTATCTGTCAAACTTTCATAGCGAATCAAAACAAACATTCTGTAGTACTAGAATTTTGACTAGAATGGGGTACGTTAATCGATTTGCTTGGGACCAATAGGCTAGTCAAGTAGTGAGCCAATTTAAAATCGTTAGTTTCCACCCGTTGCCATTATTCCGCAAGCAAAGTGAAATTGCATTCAGAATGCGCCACCTTCATGTCGATCATGATACAAATGTAATTCATCTTTTCTTTACCGAATTCTTTTGAACTGCGTACTAGGTCAAGAAATGCTAAGGAAAAGTAATTAGACAGTGAGCATGCATAAGGGCGTAAACGCGATGATCGATTCTCTTCGTCGATTTTCTCTTTTGTTAATAACTCGCTAGTATTAAGTTTTCTCGGTGCGTTTGCTGTTGCTATTGATAGCCAATACAACATGTTACAACTCTGCATTTAACAAATTCTAGAAAATTGTTTCGCTTAGCTGTAGTAATGCAAAGAGATAATCGATGAAGAGAATCGATCATCGCTTATACGCCCTTATGCATGCTCACTGTCGAATTTCTTAAGTTTTCAGCTGCGTACCAGGCTTGATTAATTTCGAAGTGAGAACTACACTCTAACAATATTCCATCTAAAAACCATTAAAAAAAAGCATATGGATTTCATCCATAATGGTTTTCACATGAGAGTTATTTGAAAATCACATAGATAGTGTTTATAAGTTTATCACATAACTTTTATATGAAATGAACATAAAAATTCAATTGAATCGCGATTCGAACCATATGACACATCATATGAACTCTATGCGATATTAAAATAGATTGTATTGGAAAATCTAATGACATGTAATGTATTATCAAGTACTTTTTATTGTCATTTTCTAATGAAAATATATGGGAATTATTTGGAATTAGTGGAAATAATGTATACAGAACGAGTCTAGTAGTTAATACAGTTCATAAAGGTTGGAAAATAAATAGACTAACACCCTATTCCATTTTTTTTAAATAATCGCAAAATGTGAATCTGATTCGATTGAAAATAGCCCTATGTTCCAAATAAAATTGTATGAACAGTATGTGTACTAGATACATAAGAATTTGACATATAGACATATATTTCAAGTTTTTATAACGGTTTAGTAATATTAAGTACATCATATCCTTACTTATATCTAAGATCCTAATATTCCACATTGAAACTGAATTTGAAGCCGTTATAATATCAACTATAGGAAGACATTCAATGGCTTCATAAGCTAAGTAGTGATTACTGTATATACCTACTTTCCACGATTGAAGAACCAGATAAAACGTGTCTTCGTATCTAACTATATCTAATATTTCAAATAGATATTGATGCATGTTGGTGAGCAGTGACATGAAGTTTCCAATTTTATAGTTTGTTCCTTTGAATACAATACTATTTGAACACATTATTTCAAACCCAGAATACATAATGGTTGAATGATCATTTTGTAATAATTACGCAATCGGATGTCAAATAAATTAAAATTTCCTTCAACAGAAACTTTTAAGAAATTGTTTTTTACAAGATCATAAGTGAATTGTAATGAGGCTTTTATGAACAAAGTGTAGCAAATGTTTTTGCGAGATGGCATTATGTGCGAATATTGCTTGAATCCTTTGTGTTTGGCTTTGTTTCTAAAGCACATCATTTTTTCTACAGGTCCAGATGTACGAATTACTCCCGGATAGTGGACTAAAAAATGGTGCTTAGGTTTTAAATCTCTTTTAAAAAATTTCAAATATAAGTCATCATCCTGTGGAACAAATCTTCCAACTATTAATGTAAAATAATGGCAAAATATGCGCATTTAATTGGAAGTGAGACGCATAGACACGGATTTGCGTTTTTCTTTACTATTGTAAGTTTCTGATAAATCTGGCATTCGTTTAAGCTCATCATCCAAACTAAGCTTCCCAATATTTTCCGGGTAATATTGAAGTCATTAATAGTTAAATATTTTTTACGATAAATGCAGTAATCAAGTATTTCAGTAAAGCCGTATTTACACACACCCGTACTTAATAAAATATGCATTGGATCTACGCTTTTGTTTTCCACTACGTGAAATGATGGTAAATTATTAAAAACTGAGTATCCTGCTCGATTACCCTGGATAGGACCCTGTCATTGAACGTCGCGTAAAAGTGGAACTTAATGAAGGCCTAAGTACTTTTTCGTAGTTTTTAGTTTTCGGATTTGAAAGATCGTCGGTTACAGTGGCCTGCTTACTGAGCAGAAAAATGTGGTCCCAGGTCCTTTCATACAAAAGAGATTTATGGTAAAATCGCTTGTGTATCGTGTATTTTGCGAAACTCGTTGTTGTCGTTGGTTCCGGGTTTGCATGGATACAAAAATTTGAGCAACGGTATTATGTGATATGAGCGTTCAGCTGTTGGGATTTCGGTAACTTCCCTTAGAAGATGAGCCGAACTTCTACAGGATACATCAAATTAGAAACAAAACGTCTAACAGTTTAACGATTCACCAAAAGCTCGAAACGGTTCTAAAACAATACATCAACAAACCACACTAACAGTGCCAAACATCGATTTATTTCTTCCGCTAAACAACGATTCTTACACATTCAAACTATTGATAATTTCCACCACTACCTTATTCTCCAACATCGTCATGTGGCTTCCCTCGACGGCTTTCAACGACATCGAAGCCGTCGTACTGCCCTCCAGTCCGTATTCCTCGTCTATCTCCACCATCGAAACCTCCGAAGGTCTTATCAACACGATCGGAACATCGAGCGGTTCTTCGTTCTCAGGCTCCATGTCCATCACCATCTTGACGCGATTGAACAAGGCCCTAGTCATTCGTCTTGTATAATCCGGCGAGTAGGCTGCTTGATCTTTGGAGACTTCAATCAGTTTCTCAATTTGGCCATCGAAAGACGCAACTTCCATAATCGAATACACCGTTTCGATTGGAGAATTCGGGAATACATGGGATATGATCGCAGCCATGAGCGATCTTTGGATTTGTTCATCTGAAGTATTTTCGCCAAATTGCATTATTGATAACTGTTTCAAGAGCTTTGGAGCCCCGTCCAGTAGGATCAATTTTCCCGGGAGATTTCTACGTTGCAATCTTCTAACAATTTCGAATGCAATCAACGTTCCAAAAGAGTAACCAACGACCAAAAAGTCATCGAATCCAGTGAACACTTTGTCGTCAAGTGCGGGCATCACAAGATCCACAATTTCTGAAATGCTCCGAAGATCGAATGTGTTCAAAGTTTGCAGAATATACACGGGCGCATTCAAACCGGCTGCTACCACTCGCCAAACGTGTCCGGCTACACCTTCCAACCCAGGAATGATCAAAATGGGGCGTCCTTCAGTCGCCAGCGATGGCAGACGCAGTAAAGTCTCATCGCTGTGCTCTTCGTCTCCCATGTTCCGAAGTAGCATTTCCACACCGATGAGAGCTCGATTCACGGAAGGTTCTTCCAACGCTTCGGTAGTAAGTTTCTTCTCATCTATCAGCTTCTGAAGCTTCATGAACGTTAACGTACGAAGCTCCAGCGGAGACAGAACCAAATCAAAGTCCCTCTCCAAAACCTGTTTGATTTCTACGGCCATCAATGAATCCATACCCACGTCTGCTAGGGTACTATCCATCGAGACTGTTTTCAAGTCACGAATACTCATAATGTTCATTACTGCTTCCATGATGTTCCGCGATCCACTACCGATTCGTTTCTCCGCAACAACCATGCTTCCCACTATGGGATCACTGCTCGACATAAGGCGATCCAACTCCTGCAGGCAAGACGAAATCCTCTGCTGTAGTGTACCTCCAATCTCCATGTCCAGTCTATCCTCTGCCATGTCCGCAACGATTCCGACCTCACCAATAGCGCCCCATTGAATGGCCGTACCTGGGAAACCATCAGCTACGCGCTTCTCCATGATCCGTTCCATGATGGAGTTCGCCATCCCGTAGTTACTCTGACCTGCATTACCCCTTCCGCAGGATACACTGGAAAATACCACAAAGTTAGCTAACCGGGGACACAGCTTACGGCTAACTTCATCCAAGAACTGCGTAGCGTTAGCCTTCGGAGCCAGACATTCGGCGAACTTTTCGACGGATTGATTTTCCAAGATGGAATCCCGGAGCTGGACAGCCAAATTGAAAATGGCTATTACCGGACCTATCACTGATGCTTCCCGCAACAGCTCGCGGCATCCGTCGAGAGCCGTTACGTCTGCCGTATTGACTACTGTGCGAACTCCGTAGCTGGTCCACAATCTGCAAGACGAATAATGTTTCATTGTGCCGACTATCAACCCAAAAAAAAAAAACATGTGACACTTACCTTATTCTGTACTCCTGATAAGGTTTAGTGATACCTCGACTGGAGCTGAGAACGAGTTTGCGGCATCCTCGTAGCACCAGCCAATCAGCCAGCTCCAACCCGAATCCACCTAATCCACCAACAATCACGTACGAACAATCTGGATCGCAGTACAATCTCGGAACGTAGCCAATCGGTAGCGTCTGCTCATCTGCTTCGCGACTTCGAATCTGAAGCAAAATCTTACCAATGTGCTTTCCACTGGCCAAGTAACGGAAAGCCTTCTCGATTTCCACGGCCGGAAAGACTGTGGTGTTTAGAGGTTTAATCACTCCACTCAGAATATCAGCCGTCAGCAAGGCATGAAGCCTTTGTTTCTCCGCAAACGACCCCTTGAACATGGCATCCAACATAACAGCCGTAAAAGTTAACCCCTTCTGGAATAATTCCATCGCTATGGTCGAGTTCTTCGCCATATCGTACTTCCCAATCTCCAGGAAGTGTCCGTTCCTGCCTAGGCATCGTATCGAAGCCTGCAGCTTTTCCTCTGCCAAAGAATTCAGCACGAAGTCCACTCCACGTCCGTTCGTTCTCAACTTTACCATGTTCTCGAACGAGGTATCCCTAGAGTTTCCAATATTTTGCACCTTCAACCCAGGGTACCGTTGCAAAATAAACTGCTTCTTTTCCTCGGTACTCACTGTAGTAAACACTTCCATTCCGTACGCAAGACACACCTGAATCGCTGCCAGGCCCACTCCTCCACTGCCAGCGTGAATTAGAATCGACCTACCCTTTTTGATACGGCTGCATACGAACAAAGCCGTGTAGACAGTTCCATAGACTACGGGAACTGTCGCCGCTTCCTCCAGACTCCAGTCATCCGGAATGGTCCACGTCATCAGTGGGTCACACTCCACCAATGTCGCCATTGCCCCACAAGGCAAGACGCCCATAGCCCGTCGACCACGGGTGGATACTCCCGAGTATTCATTTCCCAGCAAACATTCTTGTTCCAACCGGTTAACGTGCAGCACATCCGACGAAAGTCTTCCGGTAGCGATCATCACGTCACGGAAGTTCAACGCACTGTACATCACCCGTATCAGCTCGCCTCTCGTAGGAACGGTGTTCAGCGGACCGGTGAACCAGGTCATCGATGACAGATCTCCCTTTGCTAGGCAATTTGCATAGCAGTGATTACGAACGGGCTCCACTTTGGGGCTAAAGTCCATCAGCGCGTGTCGGTAACTACCCCAAGTACCATTCCGGTAAACGTTAATCGCCAAGTTCAAACTTAGTTGATGTTTGTAGAATGGTTCGCTCAAGGCGAACGGCGGAGCGCAACGGTCATCTATCAAAACACAACGAACCGTATGTAATTTGGGTTCCTTCTTGATGCAGTTAACAAGGCCGATTATGCCGGATGTTGGGTCGTTTTGAGCATACAGTACAACCGGTTTTGCCTTGATAGCATTCTGCAGATCTTGAAGCCATGTGAAAGCGGACTCGTTCGAGCGTACCTGGATGATCGTCGGGGATTCCTTAATCATTTTGGGCTTCGGTTGCAGCAGGATGAGAGTTAGTTTTTCATCAATCAAGAAGCTAGCCACTTTGACTAGTTGCGGTGGAACATCAAGTTCGGAAGATTTTTGGCGGATGACTAGGAAACCTCCAACGGTCAGACTAGCAATGGCTTCTTGTAAGAATTCAGCGTCTTCTAGCTGGGTCTGGGTGGGATTGATGACAAAATGTAGTCCAGATTGATTCGCTAGGTTTTCGTTTTTGACGGTGATATTTGAAAGATCCATTTCCTTGGAGCTCAGTAGGGTCAAGGATGGTTGCACCAACGGAAGATCTGCAAGGGCTTCTGCGAAAAATGGCAGCAGTAGCTCATCGTCCTTTTGGTGGAGCTCGATAGCCCGGATCAAAACGCTTGGTGCATTTTCCAAAGCTATTTGCACGCACATTCGGACAGCCTCCATAACAGGAACCTTTTCGGTAGAATGATAAGGAACGAACCTATAGGTCTCCAAAACGGGTATACCTGGCGGATTGCGTCTACCTACTACGTTGGCTCGAATTCCGGATATTTTGACACCCCCCGAGGTACAGACATTAGTTTTGGCACAATTCGTTACGTTAAAAAAGTCTACACCATCCTCAGCTTGCCGGGACATCAACGATAGATGCAGCTTCGGATAGATCGTCACACTTTCAATTGCTGTCGGAACCATCAATGATCGCGTATCGGCGGCAACTATTCCGACCTGCAGCAGACAATCCAAGAATGCTACCCAATTGCCCTTCCACTGAATCTTGGCAGCCGTTCCATCGCTTCGAGCTTCCAGAACAGATTTGAACAGAGCATTGTAGTGATACCCTCGTAGTCTGAGCTCTTTGTAGAAGTCCCGAGCTGTCAGTAAGGTGGCCGATGTGTTTTCTTCAAAAGTAGGGAACTCCTCGTAGGGTGTTGTTAACATGCGCGCATATCCAGTTACAACAGCGGTAGTTCCATCCACAATCTGAAAACAAAGCATGATTTCCATAACTCAATACCCCAGACAGTATTCGTTAACCTAACCTCAAACTGTCCAGTGGCCTTCTGTAGCATAACCGTAAGGCAGACTGATTGATTCTTGGCTAGGGTTGTCGCCCGTAGGAACTGGACATCGTCAAACCGCACTGGACAGTCCGCTAATTCCCGTTGTTTCAGATAACCTATCAACTCCCACACCAAGCTGAGATATCCCGTAGCAGGAAAGAGAATCCTCCCGTCAATGCAGTGTCCGGAAGCGTATTGGAAGTCCTGATCCGAGAGCGATATTTTGAAGGTAAGTTGATTTGATACACGCAATCCTACCCACTCGTACTTTACGACACACCACGAGTCACGATGATCCCAGCGGATCAGCGGCGAAATCATGGGAGTACCACGAGCTACAGGAAATTGCACTGACGGGTACAGTTTGAGCAGGTTCAAGTCCTGCTGTGCCAGGTACAGACTGTGAATGTAAACGATTAGCTATGTAGACTGACTTAATCTAGTTGATAACTCACTGTCCAAATTTAGCTAGCAGACTGGTCATTGCTCCAGAGGATTGATCTAAGGTAATGCATTTAGCCTTGCGGTTGAGGCTCTTCAGAACGGGTTCCATCGACTGTTTGGCAAGCGGCTCCAGCAGCAGACAATGTTCCGGGATCTTCTCCAATAGATTCACAATAGAAAGCGAATCATGATCCGAAGTCGATGCAAAGTTTGACGAAATTTTCGAACTGAACCAACGGGATGACGGTGCCAGAGGTTCCATGATGACCTGAGATACTAAGGTCTTGAGCTTTTCCGATATCTCATCACCTGAGTCTTTTGCGTAGACGAAGCTTACAAAGGGCAGACGTTCTGCAACAAAGCCTCGTGACTTCAGTTGGTCAACTACGGCGCAAGTAGGATTCAATGGACCCCCAACAACGCCAAACCGCGACAGCAACTGACCCTGGATAAATCCATCGAAAGAAAGAGGCGGTGTAGGTCGTTTAGTGCCCAGTTCGAGAAAAGCGTTGAAATTGATCTCGGTATTATATTCTGAAAAGACACATCCATGATAATATGCCAGCTGGACAACTTGATCCAGTGTTAAACAGCGGTCAAGGTAGGCGCATGTGAACTGTCCAACGGAGTGGCCACCGTAGGCGCTTAGCTGTACTCCGATTTCCGTGAGAACATCAGCATATGTCAATTGGAGCACGGTTGATCCAATCAGGAGCTGCCGAAGGTCGGTCTTCCGAGTAGGCTTTTGGTACAGGTCGTATCCCAGCGATTTCAGTACGGCGCGACATTTGGATATCGTACCTTGGACAACAGGGAACTGACTAACCGCTTCCAGTTCTTCTCTCCACCGTATGCTGATACCTGGAAAGATTGCGACTAGTGGTGCTGTATCGAGCTTGATACGTTCCACCTGAGAAAGCTCCAGGCAGGCCGGCTCCAGACCTCTTTTGCTGAAAATACCAAACCCACGGTACCGATGACCAGGAATTTTGTTGCGCTGAACATTGTGTAACAAAGCTACGAATTCGGCATCCAATGGACGATGGGAAATGTCCTGCATCATTAATTCTACTGCCTCTTTGGTTCTACCAGACCAGAAAATCAATCGAGGAAGATCATCTTCCGGTACTCCGGAACCGATCTTCTCCTTCATATTATGATGCATCAACATGTGAGCGTTAGCTCCGCCAAATCCAAAGGAATTGATCGCAATGAGCGGCCCTTCTAGGGGTCTTGAATGATCCACCACCTGCAGACGACCTGTTGCCAGGGCAGACACGTCTGTACGAGGTTGAGATAGATTGATGTTCGGGGGAATTAAGTCATTTTCCATGGCAATGATACATTTAGCAACCGATGCAAGGGCAGCCGATGCTTCCGAGTGGCCAATGTTGGACTTGACTGAACCTATCAGCAATGGACGATCGCGTTTGGCACAAAAGATCTTGTCGATCGCATCACACTCCTCAGGGTCTCCGACCACGGTTCCCGTACTATGTGCTTCGATATAGGCGATGCTTCGCGGATCGATAGACAATTCGTCGTAGAAGTCATTCATCAACTGCTTTTGCATTACTCCCGACGGATAGGTTATGCCTTCGGACTTGAAGCCGTCACAGTTGGTTTTACTATGGAGAACGTGAGCGTAGATTCGATTGGCGTCCTTTGATTTCTGCAAGAATACAGCGCAGATAACCTCCGACCGAGTGTATCCACAAGCATTCTCATCGAACGGGCGACACACTCCGTCTCTGGACAGCACTCCGAGCAGGGCGAATTGGTAGGAAATGTAAGGATGCAGGCAAAGGTTCGTTCCTGCTACAATCGCGGCATCGCATTCGCCACTCATGATCTTTCTACGGGCAACATCCAAGGCATACATGCTACTGCTGCAAGCCGTATCCAAAATCAACGACGGTCCACGGAAGTCAAACAAGTAGGAAATCCGGTTGGCCAATTGGGACTTGGCGCATCTGGGAAAAACAGAACCATAACTCTTCGGAACGTTACATATATCAATTCAACTTACCCTAGCAAAGCGTAGCCTTTCGGAGGGCGTGACTGGTAGAACAGTCTAGCTTCGGTTTCCGAAAAGCACACTCCAACGAAGACTCCGGTTCGCGAACCTCGCAACGTCTCCGGATTGGTGCCGGAGTCAACGATTGCTTCGTAGACATGCTCCAGCAACAACCGCAGCTGTGAATCCATGGCATTGCACTGATTGCGACTGTAACCGAAAAACTCCCGATCGAATTTGTCCAGATTGTTGATCTTTCCGGTACGGCGCGGAATTTCCGGTATGGTATGCAGCCAACGCGTTTCCTTATCGTCCACCAAATCCCGTTTGTCATACAGGTTCTTGGCGAACTCCCGCATGTTGTCCGTCTGGGGAAATCGCCCGGATATACCGGAAAGAACCACGCACTCATCTAGTTTAACCGAACCCAAATCAACGGATGACATGGTGATTTGATCTACTTTTTTCTTTTTCTGACTACAGTATAGAATCGACCGCAAACTGACGAACGAATCGAATGAGTCGTCCTCTTTATATGGGTTGCCATCATGCAGCTATGTTTTGGGCAATTTACATACAATGCAAATTTTCACTGCCAAAATACGAAATGCAAGTTCAACGACACCAGGAAGAGTGGGAAGGCGCGTTCCTCACTGAAGTAGTGAGCAAGAAATTCTAAAAAGCAGTCAGCGTAGCTGACTTCTTACATTCCATAGACCCAGGCTAATCAGTCAATTAGCTAAACAACTAATCGGTCCTGCCTAATCGAAGGTCGGTAAACTTCCAAAAATCGATTTGTTCGCAACTTAAACCGGTAACGGTGCACGTCCAGACAATTAACGTATGTGCATCGCTAATTAATGCTTGACCGTTGGCCGCGATCAACAATGCAAATCGGGAGTGGGCCATCGAAAAAACCTGGATCGCTCGACCAAAACAAATCAGCATAATTGGAGACCTTGCCACCGTGCACATCGCGATATAAAAGCATTCGAATCGTGTCAACACGAGCTTCAAGCAGGGTGGTGTTTGTTTGATTTGCTAGTTAAACGGTGTACGGTTGAACTTCAGCGCAGTGTAGAATGATTCAGAACGGAGACTCGATCGTTATTTCCGGAATCGCCGGAAAATATCCACGCTCCAACAATGTGACTGAGTTTGCCAAGAATCTGTTCGACAAGGTGGCTGGCCGCTATGTGAGGTGGTCCAAGGTTTTGAATAATAGTGTTGTTGATCGCAGGTTGATCTGGTGGATGATTCGGAAACTCGCTGGCGTCACATCAACCCGGAAATTCCTCGCCGAACGGGTAAAATCAGCCATTTGGAGAAGTTTGATGCGCAATTCTTCAACGTCGGAGCAACCGAAGCCCACTGCATGGATCCACAGATGCGGATGTTGTTGGAACATTCGTACGCCGCGATCCTGGATGCCGGGATCAATCCGGAAGTCCTGAAGGGTTCGCGAACTGGCGTGTATATTGGTGTGTGCTTCTCGGAGTCGGAGAAACAGTTCGTGCTGGAAAATTGTGCTCCCAAGGGATACGGCATCAAGGGGTAGGATGTGCTGTAGCCTTTGAATTTTCTTCAGTTAAACAGTTTAACCTTCCTCCAGAACTACTCGGAGCATGTTGGCGAACCGTCTGTCCCACTGGCTTGACTTCTGTGGACCCTCGATGGCCGTCGATACGGCCTGTAGCAGTTCGATGTACGCTCTAGACTGTGCGTACAATGCCATCCGAAACGGTCGATGCGATGCGGCTTTAGTCGGTGGAACCAATCTTACGCTGCATCCGTACGTAACGCTACAGTTTGCTCGACTGGGCGTTCTCTCGTCCGATGGATTTTGTCGACCGTTTGATAAGTCCGCTTCCGGTTACACCCGTGCCGATGCCAATGCCGTAGTCTTCCTCCAACGGGCGAAGGACGCCAAACGAATCTACGTCCATGTACTGCATTCCAAGACCAACTGCGACGGCTTCAAGCAGGAAGGCATAACCTATCCTTCTGGACAGGTCCAAAAACAGTTGTTGGACGAGTTCTACAAAGAGCTCGGACTGCCACCTAGTGCAGTTAACTACGTAGAAGCGCACAGCACGGGAACAGTCGTAGGAGATCCGGAAGAATGCGATGCGATCGAGAAAGTGTTTTGCTGCGATCGGAACGAGCCCATGCTGATCGGATCTGTCAAATCCAACATTGGCCACACAGAGGCTTCGGCAGGGATTTGCTCCATCACCAAGTGCATAATCGCAAGTGAAACGGGACTGATTCCCCCTAACATTCATTTTGTGTCAAATCGCGCAGACGTACCTGCGCTCATGAACGGCAAGCTGAAGGTCGTATCGGAAGCAACGACTCTGACTGGACCTTTATTAGCAATCAACTCTTTCGGCTTTGGAGGAGCTAATGCTCATGCATTGCTGCAGGCCAACACGAAAACCAAGACTTACCGTCCGGAGTGTACTCTACCTAGACTAGTAACCTGGAGTGGACGAACGCATGAGGCTGTTGAAACGTTCTTCAACGAAGTAGCAAAACAATCCCTGAATGACGAGTTTTTTGCATTGCTCAACAACATTCAAATTCAACCCGTACCGAAGTTTAACTATCGTGGATTCCGCATCTTTGCGAACTCCAGTGAAACCCTTTTCCAATCCCCGATTGTTAAACTCAATAAGCAGCTAGCTGTCCCTATACTAATGGTTCTTGGAGATTGCGATCCACACTGGAAAGCGAAGCTCGATATTTTCAGCGAGTTTCCCGTTTTTAAGCAATTCGTGTGCGAGTGCTCAAAAGTCCTCGAATCGGAGGGTGTATTTCTAACCGAGAATACCGCACCACTTCTCGGTACCATAGTCTTTCAAATCTGTCTCGTTGAATTACTCGTCGCAGCGGAAGCCATTCCGGATGGATTCACAGGAATCTCGATTGGGCAGATAACCTGTGCCTATCTGGATGGAGCCTTTTCCATGGACGTTGCCGTACTCTTGGGTCTATACTACAGTTTGCTTCATGCCGAATCAAACGATGAGGAAAAGGTTAAACTAAACGAGCTCGTACGGAATATTCTACCGCGAGAGATTCAACCATCCGACAAATGGATCAACGGTACAACCACCAAGGGATTCGAATCTTTCAAGCTGCTCAACAATAATGACACGTCAATTATGGAACCTACTTTCCCAAGTGATTCGGTATTGATCGACATCAGCGAACTACATCCAAAGGAAGCTGTTCAGCAGGTCTTCATCGTGCTGGGACAGTAAACTCAGTTCAAAGCATAATTCATGTAGCAAATAACCACCCAACCTACCTCTTTTCAGATTATATCAAAACGGACGACAGCTGAATCTGGCTAGCCTCTACCCTCCAGTCGAGTTTCCCGTATCCCGAGGAACTCCAATGATTTCTTCCCTTATTCAGTGGGATCACAGCGAAGACTGGTACGTGATTAAGTTCCAAGCACAACGCACCTCCGATAGCGGCATCCAGGTGTACCACATATGCCTCGCCGATCAGGATAATAGCTATCTGGCGGGACACTGCATCGACGGCCGAGTTTTGTTTCCTGCCACCGGCTATCTACAGATTGTTTGGGAATGCCTTGCCATGCGGAAAGGACTCGTCGCTCAGGAACTGGCTGTCGAGTTCAACGATGTGCAGTTTCTTCGGGCTACTACACTGGCTGCTGATCAGTCCGTAGAGTTCACCGTACTCATACAAGAAGGCACCGGACAGTTTGAGGTAAACTACGGATACAGGATTCTGTATCACTGAGTGATCATATCTCATCATTTGCAGATATTGGATGGCTCTACCGCAATTGTGACGGGTCAGGTTAAATTTTCAAAGCAACCCGAATTCCTGACGATGGATGCGCCTGCATCGGAGTCGACAGTCCTCCTACATCGTGATTTCTACAAAGAACTACGACTGCGCGGCTACCACTACGGTGGTGATTTTCGATCCGTCATGAAGTCTCGCTCGGATGGATCGTTCGCTAAGCTTGCCTGGAAGAAAAACTGGGTAGGTTTCCTGGATTGCATGTTGCAAGGGGCGATCATTGCCTGCGACAGCCGATCTCTGATGATTCCCACCGGTATCGAGAATGTTCGCATCGATCCCATCATGCACCTGAAGCTCAAGCTGACCGATGAAGATGGGCAAGAATTCTACAATCTACTGTACAGTCAACACTTGAATGTTCTGCGCTCCGGTGGCGTTCAGATATCCGGAATGCAAGCCAGTACAATTCTGCGAAGACCACCCACGGGTATTCCCGTGTTGGAAAGCTACCGATTCGTACCGTATCACCCGAAGTTTATCATTCAATTGTCCGAGGCTATGCGAATCTTTGTCCAAATAATCTTAGAAAATGCCCCATCACTGAACCTCCACATCCTAGAATGCTTAAAGTCGGAACAGCAACCGATCATTCAGTTCATCGACAACGCCGTACGGGATCTTCCAGCTGTGAAATCAAACCTGATTGTTCTGAGTTCAGCCAAGCATACCGTTCCCGACTGTGTCCAAGTGAAAAACGAAACCCTTCTCAACCAGAAGAATGCCTCCTGTATCATTTGTTCCGAGCAGTATCAAAGCCATAGCTTCGTTTCCGATGCCTTGGATGCACTCACAACCGATGGTTTTCTCGTCGTCCGTGAACAGGCCAACTTCCACAGTCTAACAATGCGAGCTACCAAGGGACTGAAACTGTTATCCACCATCCCAACCGACGGAGAAGTGCTTCTCTTGTTCCAAAAGGACAACCAAACCAACGAAGTCCTGCTTCCCATTGAAGTTTGCTCCACGGACTCCAACTACAGTTGGCTACATCAACTGCAGCAGTCCCCGAACAAAAATTCTGTTCTTCTCTATTCCATCGATGACAAATACTCCGGCATTCTAGGGCTGGTAAACTGCCTCCGAAAAGAACCCAACACTCAACAGATCCGCTGTTGCTTCATAGACGATCCCAGTGCACCACCCTTTTCGGTCGACAGTCCACACTACAGCGAACAACTCCGACTAGGGCTCGCCATCAACGTCTACCGTGAAGGTCAATGGGGAAGCTATCGGCATTGCATTCTACCAGACAGCACCGTCACACAATCCGTAGACCATCACTGCTTCGCCAATTGCCTCAAACCGGGTGATCTGTCTTCGTTTGCCTGGATGAACGGACCGTTGAATGCTAAATCACAACACCTGGTCAACGTAGTGTTCAGTTCGTTGAACTTCAAGGATGTTATGCTGGCTACCGGGAAGTTGTCGATTGATTCATCGTTCTGTAACCGTCTCGAACGGGAGTGCGTCCTTGGATTCGAATACTCCGGCATAACACCACGCGGTCTACGAGTGATGGGTATGATACCTTCCGGCGCAATGGCTAGTCAAGTTGCCAGTGATCCCTTCATGACATTCAAAGTCCCGATGGCATGGAGTCTGGAGCAAGCTGCTACCGTACCGTGCGTTTACGGAACGGTCTACACTGCGCTGTTTTTGAGCTGTTCAATCCAGCGAGGACGATCGATTCTGATTCACGCCGGCAGTGGAGGAATTGGATTGGCTGCGATCGAGACATGCCTGGTTTATGGATTGGAGGTGTTCACCACAGTTAGCACACGGGAAAAGCGAGAGTTCCTACTGGCTAGGTTTCCTTCGCTGAAGGTGGAAAATATTGGAAATTCTAGAGATATCTCGTTTGAGCGGATGATCAAAGTGCAAACCAAAGGACGCGGGGTGGATTATGTGCTGAACTCGTTGGCAGAGGAGAAACTACAAGCATCGGTCAGGTGTTTGAAGACCGGTGGGCACTTCCTGGAAATCGGAAAGTACGACATGACCAAGAATTCCAAGCTGGCCTTGGTGCTGTTCCAGCGAGGCATTACGTTTACAGCTGTTCTGCTGGATCTTTTGTTCCAAGGAGCGGTGGAACAGAAGCAGCGGTTGCATCGGATCTTGACGGAAGATATCGCACGCGGTGTGATCAAACCGCTGCCGACTACGGTGTTCAAGGCCACAGAAGTGGAGAAAGCGTTCCGCTACCTGGCTAGTGGCAAACACATGGGGAAGGTACTGTTGAAGATGCGACAGTCGGAGGATGATCTGTGTACGGTACCGGTTCCGGTGACACCGAGGATTCACTGCGATCCAGATCGGAGCTACGTCCTGGTGGGAGGATTGGGTGGATTTGGATTAGAACTGGCAGATTGGCTGGTGCTGCGGGGTTGCCGGAAGCTAGTGTTGAGCTCCAGCCGTGGAGTTAGCCAACCGTATCAGGAGTACAGGATAAGGTGAGTGTGACGGGTGCAGGGTTTCCTCTCAGGAATCTTCTGGAGAATGTACTTAGGAGGCTCAGCAAGAACACAGCCCAGTTGCTGCCCAGATGATCTTGATTGTTTTCAAAGCAGATTGAATCCTTGGAATATGATCTGAACTCCAGTGGACGTCTCATGACAACCTATTGATGTCTAAATTATGTATCGTAGACCTAGTGTGTGCTCATTTTGCTAAACAAAATTCCCTGAGTTCTCCAGGTTTTGCCGTCTCGGGCGCATCTAGTGGAAATGGACTGCCAGAAGTTGCTCCGTATCCAGTGAAGTAATCGAACAACATATCGGGTAACCTGCGCTCCCGCCTGCTATGCCTTGACAGTGCTTCCAGTCTTTCTGTTTGCAGAGGGAGCGCGTCGTCGACTGTTTCATCTAGTTCTGGTTCACTTCTACGAGCATCAATCCTCGTCATCGTCTTCATCTTCAGGTCGCAATTCATCGTCTTTTTCGGGTTGTGCTTCGACTTCCCCCTCTTGCTCGAAAGAAAATCTGACTACGGGCGGTACTTCTGCTTCGATGTTGGACTCTTCATCAGCGTACGGAAATCAGCACTTGTCAAACTTCACATCCGTTGCAATCGTTATCTTCCTCGCATTTCTGTCCCAGAGCCGGTAACCGTTTGGAGCATAGCCGATCATTGCCATTTCGCGACTTTTCGGATCTAGCTTCTTGCGATAGTGCACCGGTATCTACGCCAAACATTTACACCCAAATATCTGTAGCTTGTCCAAATTCGGCTGTAGCATGTACACACTTCTGATGGAGATACACCGCTTGGCAAGGTTGATGTAGGGCTGCGATTTAGGAGATACACAAAGCCGCTTCAGACCATAGATTCTTCGGTACCATTAAGTCGATGAGTACTGAAGGAATCTTCTCTACTAATGTTCGGTTGAACCGTTCCGCCACGCCATTTTGTTGCGGCGAATAGCCACCGTGGGTTCCACCTGGCTGTGCTTCTGCTTGTAGTAGTTTTTTCTGATTTGTCGAAAATTACTTGATCATTTCTGTCACCGCAGCTTCATACTCCTTGAACCGATCGAAATCCTCCGACTTCCTCTTCAGTAGATAAACCATCCCGAAGTGACTGTAGCCATCGACAAAGCTGAAAAAATATCGAGACTCATCCCAATCCGGTGGATCGATGGGGCCACAGGCGTTCGAATGGATTCTCTCAAGAGGGCGAGTTACGCGGTTCCTTGTGCCGCTGAAAGGCTCACGACATTGCTTACCTTGAACACATGATTCACGGTGGCAATTCGGTGCCTTTTTCATTCCTTTCAGCACACCATCGCCATCGCTTTCAGTCCATGTTGACAAAATACAACGTTAAATCCTTTTCTGTCACGTTTTCCAGGGCCGTCACAAGCGGATCATATGAATCCGGTAACGTTAAGAAGTGCTGTGACACCAGATCTGCCTCAACCAGGGTAGCACCAGCCGTCTTTAACTTCCTCACCAGTCCATCAAACTCCAAGAAGTGGTTTCTCCTTTCGGTTCAACTCCTCATGCGCAGCTGCTTCTGGATAAGAGTTTGGCTTGCAACCGATTTCTTAGCGTCGTTGTCTTCTCCCGGGCGACCTTTGCGGTCCGTTTCCAAAAACTTGGTCCTCTCAGCTGCTACTTCCGGTAACTCTTCCGTCAGCACTTCTGAAACTCCAGCCGCTTCCAAGAATAGCCTGACACCAGTAGTTCCAATTCTCATATTCACCGGCGTTTCCTCGAAACTGCGGTATTCCGTGAGCGAGGTGGTGCTCATATTCAGGGACTTCAGGGACTTGCGGAACTTGAAGGACTTCAATAAAGCCACGAACACGTTCGTAGATTAACAACTGAGGTTTATTACATCTGAACTGGTTGAAGTATTGGTTTGGAATAAACTGGGTTAATACTAAGACAGCAGAATTTTTCCTAGATCTTGAATTAAGTGGTCATTTTTTAACTACGTTGAAAAATCGCTGAAAACTCTTTACAAAATTTTGTTAGACTGTTCTCTGTCGTGACTTAACCGAAGATCCCAGCCTCGGTCACAGTTCCACGCATCTGCCGCTTAGCTTGTGGTCCGATGTAGTAGCCGGACCGAGGTTTCCAGCCTCAGTCATGGTTCCACGAATCTGCTGCTCCCTCTGTTGGTCCGCTAGTACCGCTATCCCTTCTGCTGGTGGTTCTTTGCTGATCTTCCGCTCTCTCCACAGTCCGTTATAAGAATGCCGTCAACAAGCTGTATCAAAATTCCCGAACCAATCCGGTTCTGTTTACATACGGTCTATCACGTTTCACGCTCACTCGATTCTAGTCATTTCTATTCCACACTAACTCTATCTATTACATTCTTTCCCTCATCTACTCTCCTCCGGATTTAACAACCCTCTCGGGGCATTTGATCAACCCTCTCCAGGGAATTTCTTCTACCTTCTCGGAGGAATTTCTTCTACCTTTTCGGTAGAATGTCTTCTACCTTTTCGGAGGAATTTCTTAGACCTTCTCGGAGGAATTTCTTCTACCCTCTCGGAGAAATTTCTTCTATCCTCTCGGAGGAATTTCTTCTACTCTCAGAAAAAAATTTTCTAGCTTCTCGGAGGAATTTCTTCTACCTTTTCGGGGAAATGTCTTCTAGCTTCTCGGAGAAATTTCTTCTAGCTTCTCGGAGGAATTTCTTCAACCTTTTTGGAGGAATTTATTCTACCCTCTCTGAGGAGTGTCTTCTACTCTCTTGGTGGAATTTCTTCTACCTTCTCGGAGAAATTTCTTCTAACTTGTCGGAGGAATTTCTTCTACCTTGTCGGAGGAATTTTTCTACCCTCTCGGAGGAGTGTCTTCTAGCTTCTCGGAGGAATTTCTTCTACCTTCTCGGAGGAATTTCTTCAACTTTCTCGGAGGAATTTCGTCTACCTTCTCGGAGGAATTTCTTCAACCTTTGCTGAGGAATTTCTTCTACCTTCTCGGAGGAATTTTTCTACCCTCTCGGAGGAATGTCTTCTAGCTTCTCGGAGGAATTTCTTCTACCCTTTCGGAGGAATTTCTTCTACTCTCGGAGAAATTTTTTCTAGCTTCTCGGAGGAATTTATTCTACCTTTTCGGGGAAATGTCTTCTAGCTTCTCGGAGAAATTTTTTTTTTTTTTTTTTTTCCTTTATTTACAAGGCTTTCAGCCATTGGCTGGTTCGCCCCTTCTCGGAGAAATTTCTGCTCCCTTGTCGGAGGAATTTATTCAACCTTCTCGGAGAAATTTCTTCTAACTTGTCGGAGGAATTTCTTCTACCTTGTCGGAGGAATTTCTTCTACCTTCTCGGAGGAATGTCTTCTAGCTTCTCGGAGAAATTTTTCTCCCTTGTCGGAGGAATTTCTTCTACCTTGTCGGAGGAATTTTCTACCCTCTCGGAGGAATGTCTTCTACCATCTCGGAGGAATTTCTTCTACCTTCTCGGAGGAATTTCTTCAACTTTCTCGGAGGAATTTCGTCTACCTTCTCGGAGGAATTTCTTCAACCTTTGCTGAGGAATTTCTTCTACCTTCTCGGAGGAATTTTTCTACCCTCTCGGAGGAATGTCTTCTAGCTTCTTGGAGGAATTTCTTCTAGCTTCTCGGAGAAATTCCTTCTACCTTCTCGGAGGAATTTCTTCAACTTTCTCGGATGAATTTCGTCTACCTTCTCGGAGGAATTTCTTCAACCTTTGCTGAGGAATTTCTTCTACCTTCTCGGAGGAATTTTTCTACCTTCTCGGAGGAATGTCTTCTACTCTCTCGGAGGAATTTCTTCTACCTTCTCGGAGAAATTTCTTCTACCCTTTCGGAGGAATTTCTTCTACTCTCGGAGAAATTTTTTCTAGCTTCTCGGAGGAATTTATTCTACCTTTTCGGGGAAATGTCTTCTAGCTTCTCGTAGAAATTTCTGCTTCCTTGACGGAGGAATTTCTTCAACCTTTTCGGAGGAATTTCTTCTACCCTCTCTGAGGAGTGTCTTCTACTCTCTCGGTGGAATTTCTTCTAGCTTCTCGGAGGAATTTCTTCTACCTTCTCAGAAGAATTTCTTCTACCTTTTCGGAGGAATTTTTTCTACCTTCTCGGAGGAATTTCTTCAACTTTCTCGGAGGAATTTCGTCTACCTTCTCGGAGGAATTTTTTCTACCCTCTCGGAGGAATGTCTTCTACTCTCTCGGAGGAATTTCTTCTACCTTCTCGGAGGAATTTCTTCTACTTTTTCGGAGAAATTTCCTTTACCTTCTCGGAGGAATTGCTTCAACCTTCGCTGAGGAATTTCTTCTACCTTCTCGGAGGAATTTCTTATATCCTCTCGGAGGAATGTCTTCTAGCTTCTCGGAGGAATTTCTTCTAGCTTCTCGGAGAAATTCCTTCTACCTTCTCGGAGGAATTTCTTCAACTTTCTCGGAGGAATTTCGTCTACCTTCTCGGAGGAATTTCTTCAACCTTTGCTGAGGAATTTCTTCTACCTTCTCGGAGGAATTTTTCTACCCTCTCGGAGGAATGTCTTCTAGCTTCTCGGAGGAATTTCTTCTAGCTTCTCGGAGAAATTCCTTCTACCTTCTCGGAGGAATTTCTTCAACTTTCTCGGATGAATTTCGTCTACCTTCTCGGAGGAATTTCTTCAACCTTTGCTGAGGAATTTCTTCTACCTTCTCGGAGGAATTTTTCTACCTTCTCGGAGGAATGTCTTCTACTCTCTCGGAGGAATTTCTTCTACCTTCTCGGAGAAATTTCTTCTACCCTTTCGGAGGAATTTCTTCTACTCTCGGAGAAATTTTTTCTAGCTTCTCGGAGGAATTTATTCTACCTTTTCGGGGAAATGTCTTCTAGCTTCTCGGAGAAATTTCTGCTTCCTTGACGGAGGAATTTCTTCAACCTTTTCGGAGGAATTTCTTCTACCCTCTCGGAGGAGTGTCTTCTAGCTTCTCGGAGAAATTTCTTCTCCCTTGTCGGAGGAATTTCTTCTACCTTCTAGGAGAAATTTCTTCTACCCTTTCGGAGGAATTTCTTCTACTCTCGGAGAAATTTTTTCTAGCTTCTCGGAGGAATTTATTCTACCTTTTCGGGGAAATGTCTTCTAGCTTCTCGGAGAAATTTCTGCTTCCTTGACGGAGGAATTTCTTCAACCTTTTCGGAGGAATTTCTTCTACCCTCTCTGAGGAGTGTCTTCTACTCTCTCGGTGGAATTTCTTCTAGCTTCTCGGAGGAATTTCTTCTACCTTCTCAGAAGAATTTCTTCTACCTTTTCGGAGGAATTTTTTCTACCTTCTCGGAGGAATTTCTTCAACTTTCTCGGAGGAATTTCGTCTACCTTCTCGGAGGAATTTTTTCTACCCTCTCGGAGGAATGTCTTCTACTCTCTCGGAGGAATTTCTTCTACCTTCTCGGAGGAATTTCTTCTACTTTTTCGGAGAAATTTCCTTTACCTTCTCGGAGGAATTGCTTCAACCTTCGCTGAGGAATTTCTTCTACCTTCTCGGAGGAATTTCTTATATCCTCTCGGAGGAATGTCTTCTAGCTTCTCGGAGGAATTTCTTCTAGCTTCTCGGAGAAATTCCTTCTACCTTCTCGGAGGAATTTCTTCAACTTTCTCGGAGGAATTTCGTCTACCTTCTCGGAGGAATTTCTTCAACCTTTGCTGAGGAATTTCTTCTACCTTCTCGGAGGAATTTTTCTACCCTCTCGGAGGAATGTCTTCTAGCTTCTCGGAGGAATTTCTTCTAGCTTCTCGGAGAAATTCCTTCTACCTTCTCGGAGGAATTTCTTCAACTTTCTCGGATGAATTTCGTCTACCTTCTCGGAGGAATTTCTTCAACCTTTGCAGAGGAATTTCTTCTACCTTCTCGGAGGAATTTTTCTACCTTCTCGGAGGAATGTCTTCTACTCTCTCGGAGGAATTTCTTCTACCTTCTCGGAGAAATTTCTTCTACCCTTTCGGAGGAATTTCTTCTACTCTCGGAGAAATTTTTTCTAGCTTCTCGGAGGAATTTATTCTACCTTTTCGGGGAAATGTCTTCTAGCTTCTCGGAGAAATTTCTGCTTCCTTGATGGAGGAATTTCTTCAACCTTTTCGGAGGAATTTCTTCTACCCTCTCTGAGGAGTGTCTTCTACTCTCTCGGTGGAATTTCTGCTAGCTTCTCGGAGGAATTTCTTCTACCTTCTCAGAAGAATTTCTTCTACCTTTTCGGAGGAATTTTTTCTACCTTTTCGGAGGAATTTCTTCAACTTTCTCGGAGGAATTTATTCTACCTTCTCGGAGGAATTTTTTCTACCCTCTCGGAGGAATGTCTTCTACTCTCTCGGAGGAATTTCTTCTACCTTCTCGGAGGAATTTCTTCTACTTTTTCGGAGAAATTTCCTTTACCTTCTCGGAGGAATTGCTTCAACCTTCGCTGAGGAATTTCTTCTACCTTCTCGGAGGAATTTCTTATATCCTCTTGGAGGAATGTCTTCTATTCTCTCGGACGAATTTCTTCTCCTTTGTCGGAGGAATTTCTTCAACCCTCTCGGAGGAGTGTCTTCTACTCTCTCGGAGGAATTTCTTCTACCTTCTCGGAAGAATTTATTCGACATTCTAGGAGGAATGTCTTCTAGCTTCTCGGAGAAATTTCTTCTCCCTTGACGGAGGAATTTCTTCAACCTTCTCGGGGGTAGTAATCCAGTCCAGTCCAAGGATCTAGAAATTTTTCAACTGGTAAAAACCATTTATTAAAACTCTGTCACTCAGGTACTAGTAGGCAAAACATGAGAACATGAGGTGGTTTGAGTGTGATGCGAGAATGCTGAATCACATCCCGCGGGCTAGGGGAGTTGGACCATCTCTATCACATCACTGCTTCGTAAATTTGATGAGGGTAGCATCAAGTCTACGGTAGCATAGTGGTAGAGCGTCCTTCTAGCGTACTGGGTGGTGTGGGCTCGATTCCCACCTTGTTTTAGGCAAAGGATTTTTTCACAACATATCTCACCACCCAAAACTCCCTGCATATGGTGGAGATATTTCGATAATGAGAACATCGTATAAGGCTTCGCTGATCATGCAGATCTTCAGATATGATCAGCATAATACTTAGGATACATTAAGACTGATTAAAGGCCCAAACGCAATATGGGCGGAAGCGGAACGGAATCGGAAAGTTTGACAGTTGTCACAAATGACATCAAGATGTCTAGACGAAGTCGATCTGGTTCTAACTAGATTTCAACCCTAAAAGTGGCTTCCTCAGATCGGGCTATTTTGCTGCCGCTGCCGTTCCGCTTCCGCTGTCATTGAGCTTGGGCCTTAAAGGTTATCCGGACACAAAAATCTTGTTGGGGTTTAAACATGCGTTTTATTGCTCATAGTTCAATGCAACAGCTATACATTAGTAGGTATTATGATTATTGTAAGACGATTGTTTCAGTCTTCTTTCTTACCAGAGGCCATTGCTCGAACTTTTCTTCGTACACGGCCTATCGTCTTTCCCACTTGTTTGGCTGCCAAATTCCATTTCTACTTGAAATCCTTCAGGTCAATTACAGTTTTCTTCAGTATGTGCTTCACAATTGACCAGTATTCTTCAATTGGTCTTAGTTCCGGAGTATTGGCCGGATTCATCTCCTTGGGAACCACTGTGACGCCCTTTTTCGCTGTACAACTGTTGGGTGGAATTTGAGTAGGGGCAGCTAGCCAAGTCCGTTTCAGAACGTCACACACCGTGAATTTCGACAAATTTAAAAGGTTTGCTAACTCTCGAGTAGATAGACTGGGATTTTCGTTTCGAGTGTGCAGGATCGAATCGCGACGTGCTTGCTCCCATAAAGTCATGATTATGTAAACAAATGAACCTATCCTGACAACCAATGCCTACTGTGATTCTATACGCTTTTTTTTTTCTTTGATTTGTTTTCCGTCGATCTTGTTTTCCGTACTGCGTACCAATGCTACCGACGCCAGGGAGGCAGCTTCTACACCCGGACCCTACCTGTCGACCCATCAACTCATGAACCGAGGACCAACGGCTTTACTTCCCATCCGAAGGAAGGCGCAATCAGAGATGCTATGCCTCAGAAAATCCCGGCGGCGCCGACTGGGATTGAACCCAAGCCTTTTGGGTGAGAGGCAATCACGCTTACCACTGCACCACCGGTTCCGCTGTATCTATACACTGAACGAATTTGACATATTCCTGTTATGTGGAAGTCTAATAAATTTGCGCTATAAGATAATCCATTGAAAATGATATGATTGAAAATGTGTCAGGTAAATTCTATATGAATATCTGATACATTTACAATGCTGATAATTTGGTAACTTTTATATGATCGTTATATGATAAATGAAAATCGATTAAATTATAATAATTAACTGAAATGGATTTGAAACCCATAAGCATAAGCTATACTTTTCACCACAATATAATATATGTGTCATAAATCAATCGAAGTAAAGTTTATGTGAAAATAACATGAAATTTACTTCTTCTTTTGACACCTATATTTAATCGATTTCTAAAAATAAATTCGAAAAACAAACATCAGGCAGTGGGAGCTTTCACAGTTGTGCCTTTTTTTTATTGTAGCTGATTTGGGAAACGATCAAGATCTGTTGAGGTGTGATGCTTTCGGTGTCTGTGCTCGATTCCACTGGGCCACGGCTGACTTCAAGATTGAGCTCGTTCAAATAGCATGAAGTAAGAACAGCTCTCCCGACATGGAATGTAGTGCAACTTTATGCTCGTTTTGCTAGAGTGAAGACAAATAGCACTGACAAATTTATGTTCCGTTTCGGTGGTGTGGTTTGTTCAAATCTTTCTTAATGCACCTGTGTGCAATAAATCAACGACTAAATTATATGATTTGATAGAACTGGCTCATGAAGTTCGAGTACTACTTAGGGCTGGAATCTGAATTAGCCGTGTAGAAGGCTTACAATTAGTATCATAGCAAAGTAAATATTACAGTAGAATCATTTTTTTTTTCAATCTCAATACATTCTTTTCTGGAACCAATTATCATATGAATGAGTGTACGTTAACATCGTTGAAAATTGTTTCAATAATTTATAAAGAACAATCATGTAAGATGTATTTTATTGGGAGCGATATTCATCCCAGAAAAACATGCAAAAACAAATGCTTGCTGTTGGATTTCTTAAAAGGCATTTCTATATGACTATTTAATGATTGGGATAGATCTGTTTACAATCTTTAAACGTCAAAAATCAAAGCAAGCTATTACAATGAGATATACACGTTTTCCTATACTGCAAAGTTAAATGACAGTCCAATAGTTTCTACATGTCTATTTACACGCGACATATCAACAAACGTCAAAAATCAGTAAAAGCAACTCCAATAAAATATACATGATGATCTTATAAGATATATATTTTAGTGAGCAATATTCATCATGAAAACAGGTATATTTTACTGAATTTTCTCATAGTGCAAACTTATATGATTTTCCATTAGTTTCTAGATGTCTGTTCCCACCCATGACATATCAACAGTTTTTCACCATGAAATATATCAGACAATATTCATATACTTCTTACCTTCGCTAACCACGTTTGAAGCAAAGTATTATCAAGTACTAAGTATGTGAAATTACGATAGAAATCATTCCATATCGCAGTCATAGTTTTTAAGTGATAATCCAATGGAATCTATCAATCATCACATAGAATGAATAAATATGCTGACATTGCTATGTTATAAGATGGATCCAATAAACGGTACATGTCGATTTGTTTCAGTGTACGCGCTTAGCTTGATTCAATTTTACTCAAAAAATGCCTTAATGGCAGCATTTTTAATGTGTCTGGGTTTTTTCGCATTCAACCTTTATCAGCAACGCAGATCCCTTCAATTACAACTGGCCTATCTCAATGGAGAACGATTGATAAATTTACAAGTTCATTCAAATAACTGTTAACATCAGAGATGCCAAATAGAATTTGGAGATCTAAGTCATCAATCTGCCAACCAAAAATCCTTCCAAACTCAATAAGCAACCATAAAACTGAATATCGAACACAAGTTTAATCGCTCCTTTCCCCGTTCGTTTCAGAACCTGGCAAAGCTACGGCGTCCAGGTAACCGTCTCCACCGAAGACATCACCACCGAACGTGGCTGCCAACGGCTTATCGGGCAAGCATTGAACCTCGCATCGGTGGCAGCAATTTTCAACCTGGCAGTTCAGCTACGCGACTCCATATTCGATAACCAGTCTGGCGTAGCCTTTGCCGAATGTCTGGCACCCAAAGCCAGTGCCACCATTTGGCTGGACCGAGTAAGTCGAACCCAATGCCCGGATCTGCAGCACTTTGTAGTGTTCTCCAGCGTTTCCTGCGGACGTGGCAATGCCGGCCAGAGTAACTACGGTATGGCCAACTCCATGATGGAGCGCATTGTAGAACGGAGAAGGGCGGATGGACTACCCGGCAAAGCAATCCAGTGGGGAGCGATAGGAGATGTGGGGTTGGTGGCGAACTTGGCTGAAGATAAGCAGGATCTGGAAATTGGAGGAACTCTTCAGCAGCGGATGTCGTCATGTCTTCAGGTGTTGGATCGACTGTTGACGTGTGACGAACCCGTGGTGGCCAGCATGGTTGTAGCGGAGAAGAACTCCGGAGCTGGCAACTCGCGAAACATTGTAGAAGCGGTGATGAACATTATGAACATTAGGGACATCAAGGCGATATCGCTGGAGAGTACTCTGGCGGATATTGGAATGGATTCGTTGATGGCCGTTGAGATTAAACAAGTTCTCGAAAGGGACTTTGATTTGTCGCTGTCTGCGCAGGAACTCCGCAACTTGACATTTGCCAAACTGCATCAATTGATGGACAGCTCAGAGAATGTGGAAAGAGAAGAACCGGGATGTCAAACCGAAAGCATCAACATAGATGGTCTGGAAATGCTAGTCCGGAATCTAGGTTCGGAAGCGACCAGTCAACATAGCATTTTAAGGCTGCAATCATTGTCCAACGAATTGGACTACGACAAGGCAGTGCTCATCATCCCCGGCATTGAAAGTGTCGCTGGAGAGATTTGGACAAGTATTGCAGCCAAACTGAAAGCCCCAACATTCATTCTCCAAACGATGAACTATTATCAGTGCAAAAGCTTTCCGGAAATCGTCGATTCCATTTTCGACGAGGTACGCGACAAAGTCTTCCAAAACGTTGACCAATTCATAATCGTAGGATATTCGTTTGGATCGATCGTAGGAATCGAAATCGCCAAAAGGTTACAGAAAATTCTTCCGAAAGGAGTCCTGTTCCTCATTGATGGATCGCCGAAATATATTCAGCTGATGGCCAGCCCAGCCGTCCAATCATGCAAAACCGACGACGACCTTCAAACGATCTTGATTCTGACCATTATCTCCAAACTGTTCCCGAATAAAAACCTAGCCAATTTCACCGGTCAATCGTATACGGAAAAGATTGCTTACCTGAAAGCTGTGGACAAGGACGAAAAACTTTACTCCAAACAGTACGTGGAACAAATGCTGATCTCGCTGTTCAATCGCCTCAAAATGTCCAATTCCATCGACCCCGAAGACTACACAAACGTTCTTCACTGCCCTGTTGTTCTACTGAAACCGACACAGCCCGTCATTGCCAACATCGAAGACGACTACGGGCTATCGAGTATAACGGATTCCTTCGTCGTCACCAAAACCACCGACGGAACCCATGCTTCGATGCTGACGGACACCAATCTACCCGACTACATAAACAAAGATTTTCTCTAGAAAATAAAATTCCCATCGCTGCAATTAAACATAAATTTCTACACACTCACACAATCCCACCCAGCCCCAATAATCAGCCACTCTTGCCCTTCTTCTTGTCCATCAAACTGTAGATCGCCCTCTGGATATTCTCGCTTTCCTTCAGCTGTTCTTCGATCGCCGCGATCTGGTCGTTCTTGGTGGCAATCTGTGCCAGCAGTTCTTTCAATTCACTCTCCTGCGATGCCAGCTTGGTGTCGCGCTTGGCCAGTTGTTGTTCCAACTGTTGAATGAGATCGATTCGCTTGCTGATTTCTCGCTCCCGTTCGCGAATCTTACCCTCGTACATCTTTCGGTCGCTTTCCTTCTGCTCGGAAAACTTCTGCCGATCCTCTTCGGCTGCCTTGAGCAACCGCCGCGATTCGTCGCTGTTTTTGGTCTGCAAGCGCGGACGAGGTGCTACATCATTTGAACCAATTTGTATTGCCAAAGAAATATGAAACTCACCATTTCCGCCAGGGAGTTCTGCAGTCGTTTATTCTCCTTCTCGTAGTTGCTATCCCGTAACTGGTGGGCTTCGACCTGTTTGGTCAGGATGGCGCACTGCTGGTTCTTTTCCGTGTACTTCTTGATGTAGTCCGACAGGTCCTGCTTCATTTGACCGATCTTTTTATCGTAGAACGCGGTTGCACTCTTGACCTGGTTCAGTTCCTTTTCCAGCGTCCGGTTTTCTGCTTGCAGTCTGGGGAGGGAAAGAAACATATTAACGCATTCAATCGCTTTTATTCCAGGTTTTGAAACTAAACGCATGCTGTCCTTGAACAGATAAACAAAAGTTCAGCGTTCAGAATCATAAGGGAAGTTGTAAGTAGCATTTTAGGGTGACCAGCCATATAGCTACAACCAAAGTTGGTGCTTCATGAAACGTTAAAGTTTAGGCTTAGGATGTTTGCATAATTCCGCCATTACAGAAAAAAGTAGCTTTTCGTTGTTTTCGAGAAACGACATCGAATTAAAAAAAAAACTTACCCCGAAACCTTCAACGCCAGCGGCAAATTCTTTCGCTGCGCCCTGTTGACCTCGGCCGTCAGTAGCTGATGCTGATGCATCAGCATGTTAATCTGCTTGGACATTCCCTCCATGGTGCTCTGCAGGTCGTGCATCAGTTGCCCCTCCATCCGTATCTTGGCGTCGTAGAACTCGATCAGCTCGACCTGCGTGGCATCGTTTATCGATCCTGCCGATACAGCGTCCTGAATGTGCGTTACAGTTTGATCCATCCGTTCTAGCAAATCCCTGCTGAGACTCGCCGTAGGAGGTACCACCAGTGGGGCTGGCCTGCTGGTGCTGCGTTCGATGTTTTGCTGTTGAGATTCACCGGGGACGATCCGCCGGTTCGAAGTCAGCATGCCAATCATGTGGGATACCTCCTTCCGGGGAAAATCAACCGACGAGGTAACACTTAAAGTAGCTTCCGTAAGGTCGGAATTCTCACCGGTCAAACCTTTGGCAATCAGAAAGTGGATCGGTTTCTGCTTCAGTAGATTACCCATTTTGGCAAACCACAGAGTGGGTGAAACATTGGCAAACTCGTGAAATGTGTGCAGGGCCCAAAGATAGGCGTGGATTTCACCGTCCGGAAGCGAAAAATCAAAGTTCTGGCTGGACTTGAACGAGCTCAAGATGTTTCCGAATGTGTGCTTAAAGAAGAGTTCCGCTGCCTTATCCAGGGTTGCGTTGGAACCACCTTGTAGGGTAACTATCGTCGTCAACAGTTTGGAAATTGAGATCATCTGGAAGGAAGAGAATCATAAGACTTCATTTGACAATACACTACCAGAATTCCTACCAAAATCGGATCGCTATTATTGTGAACTATCGTCACCAAATCGTCCAGGACATCTTGACAGGCATCAACCAGCTTTTGCGGACATTTACTTTCCTTGTCATCTCTTGCGCTTTTCTCCAGAATAACCCGCAGCAAATCCACCGCATAGGAGCAGCTCTGCTTAGTCCGAATCCACTTCAATGCTACGTCCGCTATCCTTTCGCGGAAGGTTTCCCCAATTGGTTCCAAGTCCACAATGCATGCCAGAATTTCGAACAAAACGTCCATGCAATCGTCCCGTTCGCTACTGCCGGGATTGTTTATACTTTTCTCGTTGGCTAATTTTCGCTTTTTTCTGGTATTTCCAAATCCGCCTTCAGCCTGTTGGGCCTTGGTGTAACACTCGATATCATCTAGAAAGTCCTTCAAATTTTCCCGAAAAAAGTTATCCTCCAGAGAAACAGCCTTTCGGTGATCGTCATTGGAGTTGTCCTTTTTCAGTTGTCCAATGTAATGCAGATAGTCAACCACATGACGGAGAGTAAAACTATTTCTGTTGGAGTAAAATTTTAGCAGGATATTTAATTTTACGGAAAAGCTTACTCACTTCGTAGATAAGACATTCTTAACTTCCTTAAAACTCATTTTAAGCAAATAGTGCAGATCCATTTCCTTCATGTAGTCGTTCCTCTCCAGAATAATGTACATCTTGCACGTAACCAACCCGAGTTGTTTGATTTGTCCGCAGAAAGAGGACACACTGATGTTCTTCGTCAACAGGTAGGTCATCGGCAAATTTCCGTAACACAAGTTTACTAGAATCGAGAGAGCCAGCGTAATCAGCTCACTTTTATCCTTCTGGTCACTGCCCTGCTCCATCACACTCAACAGCATGAGAATCAACGATTCGACGTACGGTTCGTGGCTTTGGAGCTGCGCTCCATGGGTCAACTTTTCGATCAGGGCCAGCAACCGCTGCTGCTGTTCGGTGGTGTGAATTTCCTTCAGCAAAGAGGCCAAAGTCGGGAGGTAATGAAAATTACGAATTAACGCCTGGCGAGTTTCCTCGAACTTCGATGCCGCTTCCAGCACGGACACGGCAGCCCAAAGCAAGGCCATTTTATTCTTTCCGGCGTTCATCAGCCGGTGCAGGTTGATGAAAAAGATGTTGTTACCATAGACGGAAAGGTCGAAGACCCGCTGGTCGGTGACAACAGCCAAATGCTACAAAAAACAAATTTTTCTTCTACTGATGTTAAGACTCGAGAATCATTAGGATACTTACGCTAAGACTATTGATGAGTTGAGTTTCATTTCCGTAAGTGCTACTCACAAAATAGGACTGAATATGATTGTTAAATTCGATTATATATGAGGACATCCTGATCACAAGCTAATGACGGCGTACGCAAATAAACACACGAAAAACACTAGTTAATAAATTATAACTTATACTCCGATCACACCGACCCCTTCAGTCACTTTCTAGTAAGCTTCTACACTGGAAATATATACGATTTAATGAATAACTTTCAAATAATTAATGAAAATTCATCAACCGCAGCAGATATGCCGAATGAAAAACTGGAGTCGCGTTGTGACAGTCGTTGCGAAGGCGGTAAACAAATTCAAAAATCGGAGATCTGTCAAACAGGCGTTACAAAGCAGGTGTTATCATCGTTACTCGATCGATTTGCTTACATTTCAACCCTGCGAACACTCTAATTTCAAAACGCACCGATTTTAGCATCTCCTGGTGTGTGATAGCTGAAGCAAACGGCTAAGACCCGAGCAGAGGAAATTCTTCGATACAATCAATGATATATTCACATTATTTGACAAATCTCAGGTAATCATGACAGTAGTTGGTCTCTTTTCTTCATTCATATTGTTTTCAATAATCGAACGTCATGATTACCTGGGTTTTGTCAAAAAATGTAAATATTTACGTTGGTACAAGAATAGACGAGGACGCTATAGCCCTAATTAATTATAATAGAGCATTTCCACGCCTAATAGTAAATCGGTTGGATATAATACCCCGTTCACATTACAGCCTATATCACGTAATATAGGCTGTCTTGCAATGAGCACTCATACATAGGATTTCCAGTGAAAACTAGATGTATGAGTGCTCATTGCAAGACAGCGTATATCACGTGATATACGCTGTAATGTGAACGGGGTATAACTCTCTTCGATTTGAATGAAACTTTGCACATAAGTAAATAGAAACTTTATAGAAATTATAGGTCAAAATAGGACCAAAAGTTGCTGTTCTTCGATTGTTTTCAAGTTTTAAATGACCACACCAAATTTAAGTTTTCAATATCATTAAAATAGTTTGCTAAATAATGATCAGCAAAACAATACTTATCAGTTCTGAGCTTACCATAAGCACATAATGAGAAACAACATTTTTTCAAACATCTCGATTTTTAATTATATTCCTTTGTAATTTGTATGATCATTCATGTCGGTTTGTCGGTGTCATAAATTTGACAGAGTTTAATCAGAGACTTTGATAGAGACGCGCAAGGAAAATTTCTCTCCAAAAAGCAGCACGGGTTTTGAGGAATCTTTTGGCAATGTCACTGGCAACCATGTTTCTTCGAGTGGCTTCAAATGACTTTTATACAGTGCCGCAATGCGGTTGAGAAAATTTGAACGTTCGACCGGAACTGAATAAAAATAAAGTGCGCGGCAACATTTCGCAAAAATAAAGCGAAGACGAGAGATGACAGTCGCTCCATGACAGTATAACTTTTGTCATATTTTTCTGTTTTGCTTGCAGCGCAATCATTTGTATTACCATAAAACCAAATATTATAAATTAACAATATGGTTCACTTCCAGAATTACCATATATTTCTGAAAAGACGCATAAGTAATACCCTCTCCCGGTGAGAAAGGTGACTAAAAACATTCGTGGCCTTATTATTTAAGCGTATAATCAATTCATACGCTTAGTCAAATAAAAGGTGTGGCAGACAGTATTAGCTTTCTCATGCTTGCTACACGCCTACCCTGACGTCATGACATTGTTCTACGTTCAGACTAAAGTTGATATTAATAACGTAATAACGTAATATAATAGGCGAATTTACGTATTCTCGTCAATCTAAGCAGCGTCTGCACTTCTACTAGCATTTTCTCAGCGTCACGCACATATATGATGTGTCTGTTTGTTTACATTCATCTGCTGCTTGCTTCTCTATCCATTCCAATCGACAGAATTTTTCAAAACGTTTCGAAAGCGTTTTTACAACGCTCCAAACTTCTCAGGTGAGTGTGACTATTGTCGGCAGTCTCTTTTTCTTCGGCAACCTTCCCATTAGAACTGCGTGTTAACCAGCTGTTCTATTATCGGCAACTCGAAATCAACCTCATTTTGTAGTGCGTATGCTTTATTTGAAGAAAAATGTAGCATTACTGGATTGCTCGATCGTTCAAATATAATCAGATTGAAGCTGAAAGGCTAAACAATCGTTTGGACACATTCAGGGAAGTGCGTTGATGGGAAAACATAGTGAAATTAACGTTTAAATTTTGGTTGCCGAAAACAGTCAATGGGTGCCGAAGCCAACATTTACCCTATGATATCAAAAGTGCCTAAATAACCTGATATCTGCTATAGTTTGAATGTACAATAAGCTTAGAGGTAATCCAAACAAATGGAAGAAAACGCAGATTATATCTGCCATCCCTCTTTACATGCCACATTGGCAACTGACAGGAGGAAAACTTTCAACACGCTAATAATCGTTAACCCAATTTTGGGTAATAGATTAACAGACACGGTAAGAAAAAAACACTCAAAAACACTTGAGTTTAAAAAAAGCTCGAAAACAAAAAAATAAGAATTAATTTGATTTTCAGTAAAAAGTACTCAACCTTCATGTTTTCACCATTGAGAAATTTTAACTTATTTTTGGATGAAAATCATAGCAACCTGCGCTGCCTTTGATACTGTCATTTTTGTGTGCTTCATCGCCTTCGTTCGTGCTCTATTATTGGCGTTGACGGCACCGTCGAAAAATGGTCTCTTCTAGAAATAATTGACAGTTTCTTATGGGATTTTACGGTGAAGTGAAAGGATAGTACCATAGAGGTAACTCTAAGACCAGAAGGTCCCGAAAAAATGTGCTCAACTTTTTGGCTCAGTTCTGGTACTATCTTCGGTCCCAAGCTAATCGATGCACCCCTCGAAACATAGGAAAGTCCACGAACCCCTCATTTTATCTGTCAAACTTCCATACAGAATCAAAACAAACATAGTGTAGTACAAGAATTTCGACTAGAATGGGGTACGTTAATCGATTTGCTTGGGACCAATAGGCTATTTAAGTAGTGAATCAATTTAACATCGTTAGTTTCCACCGGTTGATAGTACGAAGTCCGCCATGTTTCACGCATAGTCTGAAGTTTACTTATGGATTTAAACGTAGGAGTAAAGAGCTACAGAGTCGCTGTCAACGCCAATTATATTCAATTGATGGTTAGGTAATTTTCACTCAATGGATTATTCATGAGGATTTCTCAAAATTTAGTTTTCATAATTTACTTAATTTTACCTAGCCTCATGGAAGCCACATGATGAGTGAAAGTGAACTCAATTTTTAACTAACTTTAAAATACCCATTATTGGGAAAAAACATACAAATTTTAAAGATAAGTGACTTACCATTACATTAGCTATTTTTACCCATTAATGAGTATCTGTAACCCATTAATGGATAACAGTTACTCATTAATGGGTAAAAACTACTAATACAAGTTTAGTCACTTTTCTTCAAAATGAACCTTTTTTTTACTTATAAATGAGTACTTTCAAGTTGGCGTGTTGGATACCTCGATCTCCATAGACGAGTGCACGGATGGATTTGAGTTCACTCACTCGACAAAAAGTGACACAACAGCGGGGCCCTGTTTACTAAAAATGAACACATATGTGTTCATTTTTAGTAAACAGGGCCCCGCTGTTGTGTCACTTTTTATCGAGTGAGTGAACTCAAATCCATCCATGCACTCGTCTATGCAGCAACATGTGCATAGGCATACAAGCCAAATGTATGCAATGCATTTAAACGTCGGTTGTTCCCGAATTGCAACATGCCCACTCGAACTAACTATATCATCTGATAGAGCAAATTATCTCTCAGATGTTGGTGTCAGTTTGCCAGATTGAGTCAATACTCACGAGAAATCGTTCAAAGTCATTGTTTACATTTGGTAAATAGGCCTTCTTTACTTGTTTCTCTACTTACTAGCTTTCTCTATCATACATCAAAACCATCATAGCTCAAAACAAAAACGATAAAGTTGAGTGTTGTGGATTGGACTATGGATAGTGTTTATGTGCAATCGTTGGAAATTTATAGTGGTCGTAAGTACTAAATACTATAGATATTGAATAGAGATTTTTTTTTTCTTGATTTGTTTTCCGTCGATCGTATTTTCCGTGCTGAGTTTACTGCGGTTTTACTTAAATTTTAGTTGTTTAAACTCAAGCTTTGGGTAAGTTTCATTTTCTGTGTACCCTGAGACTGGGTAGACGGTACCCATTCTTATGTGCAGTAAGGAGTTGGCAGAATCTGAGTAAACCAGTTTTACCAACAATCAATACGAAACCATCGATTTGAAATTTTCTCACTACTTGACTAGCCTATTGGTCCCAAGCAAACGATTAACGTACCCCATTCTAGTCGGAATTCTAGTACTACACTATGTTTGTTTTGATTCTCTATGAAAGTTTGACAGATAAAATGAGGGGTTCGTGGATTTTCCCATGTTTCGAGGGGTGCATCGATTAGCTTGGGACCGAAGATAGTACCAGAGCTGAGCCAAAAAGTTGAGCACATTTCTTCGGGACCTTCTAGTCTTATAGTTACCTCTATGGTTTTACCATAGAGGTAACTATTATGAGTAAAATGTACCCAAATTCTGGGGAAATGGTTATAATCGCATGTTTAGAATGGTACAGATATAAAAGGGAGATTTTTGCGGTTTCCAAATATCCTACAATACTGTGGACCCCCGCTAATCTGAATGACACTTCGTGCATATTAACGGGGTTTATTTTCATTTTGAACTTCTTGTAACCCTATTACCATTAGAAATTTGAGTTTCTGGTAGTCTTATTTGCGGTTTTGTTTTGATTCTGCTTTCCGTTTTGCATCGTTTCATTCCGCTTCATTATTTATTACGCAATTACAGCGGAAGCGGAACGGCAGCGCGAAAAGCGGAAAAGCCCAATCTGAGTAAGCCTACTTGTCGGATTGAAAACTATTCAGAACAAAATTGACTTCGGCTAGGCATCTTGCGAGGCATCTTGATGTCATTTGTGACAATGAATAAAAACTGAAAATGTTCATGCATTTCCAAATGGTTTCCTACCATTCCCATATATTCGAAAGTGACTGGCCCTCTGGATGTAGATGATTTCAAAAACAACAAAACATGATTAATTGAGTACATGGGACTTTACTTACTAGTTGGGTGAAATAAACTTTTTTTCCTTGATTTGTTTTCCGTACTGAATACCAATGCTACCAACGCCCGAGAAGCAGCTTCCACAACCACC